ACGATGGAATACTACTCAGCTATAAAAAAGAATGAAATACTGCCATTGCAGCAACATGGATGGACCTAGAGAGAATTATATTAAGTGAAACAAGTCAGGCACAGAAAGAGTAACACCACATGTTCTCACTTATTGGTGGGAGCTAAAAATAAATAAATAAATTCACACACACACACAAAAAAACTTGGGGGGGGGGGAAGAAGACACAACAATTACAATTCCTTGAAGTTGATACGACAAGCAAACAGAAAGGACATTGTTGGGAGGGAGCAGGGAGAGGTGGGAGGGAGGTTTCAGTAATGGGCCACAGTAATCAACCACATTGTATATCGACAAAATAAAATAAAATAAAATAAATAAAAACAAAGAGATTCATATATTATGACAAATCAGTTACATTTTGGGGTAGCATCATGTTGGGGATTATTTCAGGAGACTTAAATATTGTGCCCTGAAATCTATATCTGTGGGCCTATCATCATGAAAACTAGAATGTTATTCAGACTCGGATTAGCATCAGGAAGAAGCTCACAATATAATAGCACAAAAGGAAAATTATGAATATAAAAACTATTTTTAAAGTATATTTTGCTAAGTATAGTAGGACAATTATGGCAAAATCTATCTATTGAACACCAAGAGTGTTTAACAAATAACAAAACTATAGTTTTTGCTGTTCTTAGATGTTCAATTCAGAAAAGATTTCCTTATTACAGTTATTGTCACCATAACTAAAAGAAAGTCTGCCAGCTGGAAAAACTATGGTCTTAACAATGGAGGTTTAAAATACATAGAGATCACTAAAGTATAGAACATCGCTGTCCAGAACGCTGTTATGGACTGAATGTGTCTACCCCAAATTCTTTGTTGAAATCCTAAACTCCAGTGTGAAGGTATTAGGAGGTGGGACTTTTAGGAAATAATGAGACCATGAGGGTAGAACCCTTACAAATGGGATTAGTGCCCTTATAAAAAGAAACCTCAGAGAGCTCTCTGGTTCTCTTTTCACCATATGAAGACACAATGAGAAAGAAGCCAGCACTCTGCAATATGCAGGAAGACCCTCACAGGAACCTGACCATGCTGGTATCCTATCTCAAACTTTCAGCCTCCAGAACTGTGAGAAATAAATTTTTGTTGGTCATAAGCCATCCAGTCTATGGTAGTCTGTTATAGCAGCCCAATCTAAGACAGTGCCTTTTTTGAATTTGCACATTTAAAAAAAATCTCAGAGCTGGAATTATTGGATGGTCTTATAGCTAAACTAAGAGCTAAACATGACTAAACATTACTCCTACACAGGGGTGGTCTGTTCAGTAGGAAATTACAGATTGGGCCAAGGTAAAGAAAATAAGTTGTCATATAAGGTGTTAATAGATGATTAAGTTGGTACCAGAATAATGAAAAAAAGATAAGTTACTCTTTAACCAATCCCCCCAAATTCAAATTTAATAAAGGTAGAAGTACTCTATGTTACTTCCAAACTTAACTTACTCATATAATCTTATTCAAATATGAATACCTTGTAAATCAATGAAAAGACTTTTCTGTTCATATAATAGGAAAGGCAAATTAATTTTATATGTAGTCGTTACAGTGCATGTAATAAAATTGTGCTCTTTTT